TTTCTATCAATTACTTATCTGAAGTCACAGAGATTTCTGCCAATTATTTGCATCAAGACAGAAAGTGTGTGTCAAGTGTGCAGACGACATATAGCCAGGAAACTCAGCTAATACATGGAATGACAGAATCAGGATACTAAAAGACCTTGGCAGGATAACATAATAGAGTGGATCAAATTAAATGAAACCAAATAGAGATAAAGTATTACTCTAGTTAAAAAAAAACACCAAAAACAAAAAATCCACAGATTCAATACGGGAAAGGCATAGCTAAGTGACAATTTATAAGAGGGGGAAAAACTTGGAGTTTTAGTGCACTGCAATCTCAAGTTGAGTCAACAGTATAGAACCACTGTCAAAAAAGTTAAGACAGCTAGTTGCTCAGGTTAGAGCACTATGCACGGAATCAGGAAGACTCATCTTCATGAGTTTAAATCTGGCATTAGTCACTTACTAGCTCCCGGGCAAGTGACTTAATCCTGATTTCCTCTGTTCCTCATTTGTAAAAAATGAACTAGAGAAGGGAATGGCAAACAACTCTAGTATCTTTGCCAAGGAAACTCCAAAATAATGTCATGGAAAGTTGGACATGCCCGAAATGACTAAACAATAACAAAAACCAAATCTGAATTAAGATAGACATAGGGTCTAGAACAAGAGAGGTGATAATATGTCTGTATGACGCCCTACTCAGACCACATCATGTATGTATTCAGTCACATTTTCAGAAAGGCATTGGCAAGTTGTAATTTATCCATAGGCAGGATGGTAAGGTCTAGAGACTCTGCCTAATGAAGATCAGTTCTTCACAAGACAGTGGATGTGTTTAGCCTTGATAACATTTACATAATGTTCTAAGGTTTTCCAGGTGCTCTTCTTACTACCGTCTTGTGAAGCGCCTAGTAAAAAATATTACTATCCTCATTTTATTGATGAAAGAAATAAGGCTTTACAAGGTAGTGACATGTCCATAATCAAATACTAGACCAGTAAGTGTTTAAGGCAAGATTCAAAACTAGGTTAAAAAAATCATGATAATTGTTTTCAAGTATCTAAAAGACTTACTCTTTGACATGTGGCTTTATTTACATAGGTAAATGTTGGTTCCTCCCAATAGAAAGTAAGCTCTTTGAAGGCAGGGATAATTTTTTTTTCTGTTGTATGGATAGCACCTAGGGCCACAGATGTACTGTCACAAGCTTTAACTGGCTTGTGAGATGGTTATTTTTTTCAGTGTGAACATTTGCACCTTGGAAATAGGCAAATGCTACAAATCATGACTCGCTTTATTACTATGCTGATTTTCTAGACATAAGGCAGTGTAAACAATGAAAATTAAAATTTAAGGTGGATATGCATACTTTTTTTTTCCCAGAAAGCCCTGATTGTTAAACATTTTTACCAGCATGCCCTTGCCCTTGACTGACATATAATAATGCATTTATTAATGTCTGTTAAATCAAATCATTCTGAATACATAGTCAATTCAGTTTTAAAAGTATCTGATAAGGTGATAGCATTAGTCCTGAAGAAATATTTCAGCTGATAGTGATCATAATGAACAAACAAAGGATCTTCCATGTGGTTGTAAGACCTAAACCAATCATAATGTTTTAGACATTAGGATGTAGGCTCTGACAGAGGTGCAGTTTTTAAAGACACCAATGTGGATAGCACTGCCCTAGGGGTGGAACCAGTCAGAAGGAGTGCTATTGCCAGATAATTCATCTTGGCTATGATCCACTCTGCCAATCCGTAGCCAACCCCACCATGATTCTGACCTAGGCTCCTTTTATTCCAGGCTTCCCTTCTCTCTGTCCCACTTGGCTCAGATGTCTTCTCTGGGGACCATGTTTACGGTTTCTGTGACTCAGACTCAGCTATTTGCCTACATTCTTTGTTAGTCTCTTTGGATCTAATGCCTTGGTTGCCTGCTGCCTCCCCAACATTGAGCCAGACCTTCCCTCCCATAATGATACGTGTTAGTGAACTTGGCTTTCCCATGCTCATTTAGTGCTTCCTCAGCTGCCCATACTGACAATCCATTGCAGATACCAGTTACCCAGCCTTTTGTTGTTCTTCGCCAATTTCAGCAACAATTACAGGCTGGACTAACCTCTGTGGCAAGGTTCTGACAACATCTGTTTCATCAGCATGACCTAAAGTCATACTTAAGATCATAGGCCAAGAAAGAATATTTTTAAATGGAAGTTTGGAAGGTGTACTTAATATTAAGTTTATTTGCATGAAGCCAGACCAAGTAAATCGTGGTTGTGAGTTTACTGGAGTAGTTGTTATGTGCTAAGCTGATGGAGAATTATTTTATTTAAAAAAAAAAGCTGATGGAGAGTTATTTTCTTTAAAAAAATAAGCAAGAAAATAGTATGGATTTTATTCGTACTTTAAAAGAAAAACAGCTGTACATGTTGATCAAATGAAAAGTAACAAGCAGGATCACTTGGTCAGTAAATAGATATGGCCAAAGTGGCAGTCAGCTCTTCTGTTTTAGACTTCATTCTATATTGCCACAATAAAAGCAGAAAGGTATTTTCTCACTTGTGTCCCAAAAAAATATGCATGTGCTTACAGACAAATTTCAAAGAATTTGGGTTCATAGACTTAAGGTTGTAATGATAATAGCAGATATCGTTTGTATGGAACCTTAACATTTTCAAAGTTCTCTTTATATGCTATCTTATTTGGTCCTTCCAACAACCCTGTGACTTAGGTGCTATCATTATATCCATTTTGCAGATGAGAAAATTGAAGGTAAATAGTTTGCCCATGATCACATAGCTAGTAAGTGTCTGAGGCAGGATTCGAACTTATGTCTATCCTGACTCTATCCCCAGTACTCTATACATGTACCACCTAGCTACTTAGGAAAAACCTTAGAGGTCACCTAATCCAATCCTCTTATATGTAGGTGAGTAAAGCAAGGCCCAAAGTTGATTCCTCTTACAACTGCTAATGCTAAACATTCCATTCTGGAAAAAGTCAGAATGTAGTAGAATATTCAAAACTGGATGGTTTACAAACAGTTATCATATTCTTTACTTTTTTCTTAATGACTTGTTCCTGGCTATGATTCCAAAGGAATAATGCTGGTAGCTCAGGGATTCTGTTTTAAGATTTGGTGGGATGGAATTTAGAAGTTAAGACAACTTGGATTTGGTAGGGCCTTTGTCTTCAGGCAACATTATCTGTGAATCATGGGCACAATTTAGAATGACAGCTTACTTACTGTTATATGTGTTTTGCAAAAGTACTATCATAAAAAAATGGTGGTATACAACTTAAGTTGTACAGTTGTATGGTGGTATTGTTGTGCAGAATCCTGGGAAACAAAAGCTTCAGACAGAACAAATTGTAAGATAGTAACCCATGATGGATTGGTTCACTTACAACAGAAGTATTGGGTGTCACAACTATTAGCAGCAATAAATATCAACAGTCATTACAGATATGTTGTACACTCAGCGGTATATTTCTGGAATTGTGTCGGCCTTCTCAGCGTTGCTAATAGATAAATATCAGCAATGAGTAATATTGAAAATGATGGGCAGTAAGAACTATTGGTGAGAGGAAATAAAACAAAACATCAGTGAGGCTATTGGGACTCTTAAAAATCGCAGTGCAAGGGTATCATGGAAGAATATTTAAATAGGAACTTTTGAAAGTAAGCCATTAATGAGGGAATAATAATACAGAAGGCAGAAGAGAAGAAGCAAAACATCAGTAGAAATGGAGCTGGGGGCTACAGCCTAAGTAGGTTGGATTAGAGCAGGTACATACCAATTCTTTTATAAAGGGCAACAAATATATTTGACTTTTAATCCACAGTAATTACCACAAAGGCCAATACAGTTTTGAATACACTAGTCAGGCACAAAATGAAGAGATGCATGGTGGACAGCCAGCTAGCTTAAGAGTCAGGAAGACCTGACTATAGTCCAGTCTCTGAATCATACAGGTTATATTAGCTTGGGAAAGTCGGGGTTCCTCTTAGTGCCACAGGTAACCCTCTAAGAGGAGAAGTTTCAAGATAGCTGCTGATTGCATTGATAGAAGAGCTTGCCTTGCCTGGAGTCCACTACACCAACCACAGTTTTGGACCAAAATAAGAGCTGGCCAGTTCTTCTGTCTAAAATTTGGCTTCTATTATCATAACAATGCTTCACATATAAGGTCTGCAAAGTATTTTCTTCACAAGAGCCCTATGAGGTAGCTGAACAAATACAATTATATATAGGTACATATATATGTATCTAAATTATATATATGTATATGTATGTGTGTGTGTATATACATATATAGATATATATAAACACATATATATACATATATACATCTGTGTATATATATAATATATATATACACATAATATATATATATACATATATAATTGTCCATTATCTGGATCATATAATACAAATAGAATAGAATAGAATGCAAATACAATAATGTACACTTTACAGAGGAATGACCTGAAGTTGAGAGAGCTTAAATAATTCAGGTATGGTTGCAGAGCTAGTAAATATCAAATCTAAGACTTGAAACCAGGTCTTCTGACTTTAAGTCAACGCTTTTCCCACCTCACCACATTTTCCATTGCTAAGAAGTATTAAGATTAAATGAATTTGAGAACTAGCTCTTGAAATAATCATGATATGAAGACAAGAAAATTTTTTCTTGGCGTGGGAAGATAGGAAAGGCATCACGAAGATAGGAGGAATGACTTGCATTATTTTTGAATCTGCTTGACTAGTAAGAAGCATGGGTATGAGGGTAATGGATATCCATACCTCTCTACTTGAACTGTTAAAGTTGCCTGCTCAAGTTAAAAACCACTAAACTCTGATAAAGAAATAATTAAAATACTATTCTTTCAGGTTGCAAAATTAGCACCTGTAGAAAAGACCGTCAAAGAAAATGTGACTGTCAATTTTAAAAAATAAAAAGATAAGAATAAGAGATAGAATCTTTTATCAATTCCTTACCTTGCCATACTTCTGTGCATAGGACCCTGTGAGCAGTGAGTGAAAAACGATGATGGTTTCATCCAAATCCCAGACAAATACACGCTGAAGACATAAATGATAAACATCAACACAAACAGTGTTCTGGGAAAACAGAAATCCCTTTACAAGTAGAAAATCACCATGCTTCATAGATGGATACAATCTTGACACTGCATCATAGAAAACTTTTCATCTTATTAATTTACTTTAAAATTAGTAAAACATAACCTCTGTAAGATCTGAGGGGCAAAAATTCACTACCAAAAATGACATGTTCAAAAGTAATTTAGATTTAAATATGTGACAGTATTTATCTAGCTACTTTCATCACTCACCATCATTCAGATAAAAAAATCTGGTGAACAGATTTGAATTTTTTTTTCCCCAAAATAGCATACATAGTCTTTAAAAGCACAAATGAAGATGAGAATAAATGTGTCTCTCAAAAATTGTGCAATTAAGTTTTATAAGTTGCAGATTCAGATTTTAGAGCTAGGAGTAAACTGGCTAATTAAAAGAAACCTGTGATGAGCTCCCTTGGAAAGTAAAGAATTATCTTGGGAAGTAAAGAGTTATCCCATAAGTTATTCTGGGTTGCTTTATCTGGATTTTTCTATGTTGCTTCTGCTTAGGCAAAGTACTGATATCAGAAAAGAAAAGTTTTAGCATTAATAAGAGCTCATCTCATTACTTTCGGATAAAAATTGATTCTGAAGGTTTGTAGGGACTTAGAATTTGAGATAGACTTTAGAGATAATTACTGCAAAATTATCATTTTACAGTGAAGGAAACTGAGGACTAGTGGGAAGCACAGGTCCTCTAACTCCAAATACACTGCCCTTTTTACTATATCATGTTGCGTCTCCTCCAAGTTAACTTCAATTTTGAAATGATGCACACAGATGATTTTAAAGCTCTTTAAGTCCCAAACCACATATATAAATATATATGTGTATATATGTATATATATATATATTCATATAAAGTCATGGTATTTCACATATGTGCTTGTGGAAGATGTATTTTCCTTAACATGTGGGTTGAATTTAGTTCATGAAGTATTGATAATAAATGCCTTTTGTGATCTTGCAATACCAAATGTGATAATCAGAAAAATGACCAACAAACATTCCTTTGTTTTTGTCTTTTTAAACCATGTCTCTTGTTTGTGCTACAGTGAATTGGAGCAAGAAATTTTCTCAGGACTAGAAATTGCAAAGTAATATCATTTTCAAGTTATCTCAGGTTTGTTTTGTCCATTTATAAAGGATGAAAGCCTTAAATTGTGCCTGCTACAAAGTAGATAAACAACTATACATCAGGTTTTTGGCAGAGGTCTGTTTTCAACCATTTAACTTGAAACCACATCTTTATAGAAGGCAGACTCTACTTTTTAGCACAAAAAAACTTCTTTTTACCATTCATCAATTAAAAGAGGGCATACCTCCAAGTCACTGTCTGGTGGAGGTGATGGATTATTCTTCCGGCCTCTTCCTCGGGACTTTGACCCAGAACTCCTACATGTTCTCTCATCAAGGTCTTTGATGGGAGTGGAGGGGCTTTGCACTGTATCAAAATCTCCTGTAAATACAATCATGTATGTCAAAGTAGTGCTTCATTTGCAAATAGGGATAAGCCATCAGAAATAATACAGGTTATTGTTCATACTAACAAATCACATTTTAATAGGAACTAACATCCGAATTACAAAAAAGATTCACAAGCCTCAGCCAAGAGACTTCTTGTTTCATACAGTATCTAATGCAACAAAATTCCAATACAAGAAGATGCACAGAATCCCATGATGTTACAATGAGATTTAACATACACCAGAAAGTCCCTCAGACAATTAATGTGGCAATACAAACAGAAGATGCACCCAAATGATGTTTTCCATTATGACTTATTAGCAACACTTTGTAGCATTTTTTTGTTTTTATGTCATGATTCTATGTTGATTATGTCAAAATAATATAATTACCTCAAAACAGATGAGATGAGGCAAGTTCAACATGAACTTGATACATGAAACATCAAACACATAAAGTTTGAAGTGCCTGAGAAAAAGTATTTTAATGAATCTAATATCTAATTCAAAAGTATTCTACCATAAAGTAAAAAATACTTTGGTTAACCTACATTCTTACTTCTTCTCCAAAAGAATCTGCACTGGTTTTATCTGGCTACCCCAGCTCTCATAGTATATTTACTCTGTCCTACTACATTCACATGTGATTTCATGCTGCAAAATGTATTCTGAGTTTGCCCACAAATGCAGATTCCTATGTAAACCTCACACAATCTAATACACAGAAGGAGTGTAGCCCAAGATATCAAATGTATTTTAGGCCCGCTGCCTGATTTCTTTTAGCCTTACATCTCTTTGCCTTGTAAATGTGGAGATATGTCAGCTCTGAAAGCTGAATTACAAGGGATAGCAGAAATTCTCAAATTCTTATGAATAAAAGTCAGTCTTAAAGACTTTAGTGTGATAGAAAAATTGATTTTCTTTGTTGACACAAGTAAACATGCCATCAGTGTCATTTTTTCCCAACACACTTAAAATGGGAGTGTCTTTGTGTATCAACCATATATTTTTAACCAAAATATTTCTGTGAGCCACAAATATTTCTGGAATAGAATCTGTTGCTGCAACATTATGATTCCACTAAATACTGTCAAAAATACTTCCTACACTTACTTTTACTTTGAGTTTTGTGCAATGGAAACTAGCAGAGGAGAAAATCTTTCCTGGTAGGAAATAAATGGAAATTTTTAGCAAAAGTTTTTGATTAATAACATGCCCATGGTCCCAAGTATGATCTTTTGTTTTTCATTATCTATAGTATTCAAACATAACTTTTTTTGGTCCCCTTGAATTTCACTGGTCTTACCAGTGCTGTAGAAGGGATTGTCAAAGTAAAGACAATTCAACAGGTGTTTATTTAAGCACCCACTATATGCCAAACATTGTGCTAGGTGCTGGGGATACAAAGGAAAAAATGAAACAATTCTTGCCATCAAGGAGATTTGGGCAGCTAGGTGGTGCAGTGGCTAGAGCACTGGGCCTATAGTTAGGAAAACTCATCTTCCTGAATTCAAATCTGGCCCTAGACACTTACTACCTGAGTGACCCTGGGCAAGTCACTTACCCTGTTTGCCTCAGTTTCTTCATCTGTAAAATGAGCTGGAGAAGGAAGTGGTAAACCACTCTAGTATCTTTACCAAGAAAACCCCAAATGGGGTCACCAAGAGTTGGACACGTTTGAAACAATTGAATGATAACAACAATCAAAGAGGTTAGGATAATTAAGTGAAATGGCATGGTGGAGATAAGTAAAATATGAACTATATTAAAAATAAGTACAAAGTAATTGAGGGAGGGGGCAGATGTGGCATTAAACCTGGAGGAATGAGGAAAGGCCTCTTCTTAGAAGGAATGCTTGAGCTGAACCTTCTAGGAGCTAGGAGTTCCAAGGGGCAGAGGTAAGAATGTGAGCATTCCAGGCAGGAGGGACAGTGTGTAACAAAGGTATGTAGGGAGAAGACAAAATTCAAAATATGCCAATACACAAATGTGAGCTTTTACATTGATTTAGAACTAATGTTCTAAAATTATTGAAGCAGTAGAATTTTTTAAAGTTTGTTTCAATGTGAAATAAGAAGATATTTCACCTAGCAACATTTTATTCACCTGCAATTTAGATGAAAATTCATTATTCAGAAAGTGGCTTTACAAGGAACTCAATGCTGATACACATCAGGAATCCTTGGCTAATGTGTGATATATCCTATTTTTAAAAGAGGGCATACATAGTCATTAGAAGGCTTGCAACTGATAGTGAACAGGCACCTGCTGTCCTTACCAAAGACACTTTTTCTCCATCTTTTTATAATACAACTATCAATTTGTAACTCTTCCTTAGTAAATCTTAGTGAAACAACAACACTATTGATGGAGGACTCTTAGTCAGTGGATAGCAGGCACATAGAAAGGAAGAGAAGCATATGAGTAGAGGAGGATTTACGATGAAGCAAATAGAGACGTGCAGAAGAAAGGCAGTTAGGGCTGTATATAAGGGCACTGAAAACAGAGGGAAAGTCTCCGTTGTTCATCTATACGTTTCCTACAGGAGTTTTAAGTTAACTAAAGTTTCTACATTTATCACATAGATCCTAAGTCTTAGAAAAACATAATCACTACCTAACAGGATGAACCCAAGTTCCTTCACCCTCAGCTTTCCTGAAAGCCTTGGGTTCCTTGGGACGCATAAGAGGGCCCAACTAATGTGTATTCTGGGCCTCTCAGACTTGGTGGGTGCCAGAGACCAAGACAGTCTCCATATCCCGATGACCTACTGACCAGGCACATTTCCAGATGGATATGAAAGGGACTGCCTTCAGAGAAACTGTCACTGTATCCTTTTTGCATATTCTTCCTGTGTTAGCACAAAGTAAACTTCTTCCTTTGTTACATATTCAGAGACTTGTGTGTGCCTCAATTCATCCCAACATTGAATCTGAACTAAGAGGGTCTGGGAGTGAGAGCCATGCCTACAACACACAGAATCTAGAACAGCAAGAATCCTTAAAGATTATTTACTTCAACTTCTTCATTTCAAAGATGAAGAAACTGAGTCCCAGAGAAGTAAAATAACATTTACAATCATAGAATCACGGAAAGGTAAAGCTGAGAAGAGACCTTAGAGGTCATTTAATGTGACCTTTCATTTTATGGATAAGGAAAGTGAGTACCAGAAATGGTTAAAGACCACGTCAAAAGGGTTGCAGCATAAAGAGTCTGATCTCAAGATTGTTCCCTCACTGCCTATATGACCTTACACAAATCATTTAATGTCATTGTTCCTCGGTTTTCTAATGTGTAAAAATGGGGGTAATTGGATTAGATGATCTTATTGATCTCTTCCTGTTCTAAATGTATGGTGCTCCTTCAGACCTCACATAGACAGTGAATGGTTAACTCAGGTCTGTTTCCAAGTACAATTCCCTTTCTACCTCATAGAGTTATAGAGGTAAATAGGTAGTGTAATAGATAGAGCTAGGCCTAGAGTCAGCAACACCTGAGATCAATTTCAGTCTTACAGACTTATTAACTGTGTGACATCGTGCAAGTCACAACATCTGTCTGCTATTCCCATTTGTAAAATGGGGGTAATAATAGCACTTACTCCCCAGGGTTGGTACGAGGATCAAATGAGATAAAATTTGTAAAGTGCTTAGCATAGTGCCTGGCACTTTCTTTATTTATCTTTGACTCATCCCCAATACTCAGTGCATTACACATAATACACACTTAACAGCTGTTGATTTATTGAATGAATGTGAACCATAATTTACACATTAAAGATCAATAAGAAATGAAGAAAAATATGTCTTAGTGTTTGACTATTGCTTTATCATATTTTGTGAATTTGTGACATGATGTGACATAATGACGGCTAATATTGATGTTTAGCAATTCTAACAAAGAATTGTATTTTTTGTAAAAAGGAAAATTGATAAGAAAACATGAAAATTTATTTTTGAGTTGAATATTATGCAATTATATGATATTATATCTGTAAGAAATTGGACTTGGGGTTCATGAGACTAACCAAGACACTAACATCACACTGTTACAAGAGAACTGGATCCCAGTTCAAATCCAGCTGTCAGAGTAATGTGACATGATGACTTAATATCACATCACAAATTAGTTGGTCAGATTAGCTAGCCAATTAAGTGGCAGGACTATACAGAAAAGGGACAGATTGATTGTAACTTTTAGTAAGAAGGGAAGGAATGGGGCTGACCATGATGAAATACTTGGAAGGTAGAAGGTGAGTTGGGATTCTGTGGGAGCAAGAAGGAAGCCAACAAATCAAAAAGAAAATATGAAGGCACCAGAGGAGGTGAAAGGAATAATGAAATAAGAAAAAGGATACCAGAGAGGGGAACATCAGAAGACTAATTTTATACTGTTGCCCAGGTATGGAGAATGCCTTTGAGTCTCATTTGGTTTTGCCCTATGGGAAAAGTCACTAATGGCATAATATTTTACCCTGGGGAGTACTGTCCATTTCATATTTCCTTTATATAATATTCCCCTTAAAATTAATTTAAACTATGTGAGGCAGAGAGTGGGGTCTCAGTGTATTTCTATTACAAGTCTTTATTCTGAAAAAAATAGATATGGACATATTTATATTCTAGCTTATCATAATATTTAGAAGTTTCAGGTAAAAATTAAAATTATTTTTGCCATGAGAGTTAAATGCAACATTTCCTTAGTTAACTAACTCTATTATTTCAATTCCATCATATAATTTTTCCATGAGAAAAATTTTATCTTCTCTATCATGAAACAGAACTGAAAATAATTGCTAAGGCAGATAAGCGGTTATGAAATTAAATGATATGATAGTGACAGGATAAGAAACTCTTCTCTGAAATGTGATTTTCATGTAGCTCAAACCTAGTTATATAAATTGAATTTCAAAGTTTAATCAAATTCAATTCACACAGAGGGAAAAAAAATCATAGATTTATTTTCTAGTCTACCAAGAATGATGTTCTTA